TGCCGAATCTGTTTAGCTTTGTCATCAACATGCTCAATCAAATCTATAATGAGTGAAAAAAGAGAAAAAGACAGAACATATAAACGTAAAATTGAAATATAATGTCTCTCAAGAAAAAAAAAGAGTAAGAGAAAGAACTGTACAATAAGTGACAGAGAGAATATAGAGAGAACAACTTCTTTTTTTCTCTTTCTACCGAATTACTATCGAAAAGACACAGAGAGAGCGAGAGAGAGAGAGAGAAAGCAAACATTCACGTAAGTGCAATAGTGCCATCCTCTTCAGAATAAGATTAGCCTTGAAACCTTTTATTCATTTGATTCCCTTTTTTTTTTTCGTTCAAAATGAAAGAACAGGTAAATATCACGATAGTCATGTTTTATTTTGTGAATCATTCAAAGTGAACAATAAATAGATTGTCTATACTATTTTCAATTAGCATCTGCTGTGGTACAGCCTAAGGATAATTTATATCAGTGCAAAAAACGAAAAGAAAATTACCGGAAATCAACTCATCTGTTGATATATATTCTATTGTTGATTAAATGAAAAGGTCAAAGCTTCATACATATCCGGAAATACATATCGTGTGATATGAAGTAGAAATTTCGTTTCCCATCTCATCTAGAGAATATGATTATAGCTTTTTGTCACGTATCTATTTCATATAACAAAATCATTTCATGAAAAAGAAGGATGTGCTGAAAATAACAAATATATGCAAAGACAAATTCGAAAATTTGAGAACATGATGAGATGATCAAACGATTAGAAAGTGTAAGTGAAAACGATTGATATCACACGTTTAGTTGACTCTAGTCACAGAAACAATTAATCTCTACAATTCGGTCACCTATCGGTAGATGTTTATGCATACAACGGCAACTGATGAAGAGACCTAACAAGTGTTATGCAAACATACACACGGCAAAGGCGTATTGTTTGTCAATGAATAAATACGGATGAAGAAGTATGATCTTCGACTGGATTATTTTTATAGAAATTCAAAAAAAAAAAAAGAAAGAAACGGAACACACATCAAGAATTAATAGAAAAAACACTATAAACATTCACACTGATGTCATTGTTCTTTTTTTTTTTGTGTTTTTTTATTTAATATCAAAATCAAAAATCTTTCGATTAATCTCAAATTGGATCTTATCCCTGTTTATATTTGCATCTCGTAATTATATTGCAGTTTTCCACGCTTCATTTAATATTCTTCTCATCGTTGTCGCCTTTACACTCCATGACGATTTTAGTCCGATAAAATAAGACAATGACAGCAGCTACTATTATATGAATTGAGTAAAATGTGTTTAAAAAAAAAAAAGAAGAAAAGAAAAAGAGCAAGCCTAATTAGTTGTATATATACATTTATAAACTCGCTCATCACTCATTTGAAGGTGAACGATTTGTCTCTTTTTTTTGTCTCGTTGTCATCATCATCATCATCATATCTATATATATATCGATTATGATCAATCTTCTTCTCTCGCGTACTTCAGCCGCTCTACACCTATCGTAAAAAAATACAGTTCACCGCTCAATAATGTGTTTCGCATGAACAATTCTTTCTTCTTTTTCATATACATAGATACATAAAGGTGACCATCTTCAAAAGTATAGTTAAACATGCAATGGATAGATTCAATTTATGTCAATTGGTAAGCATTTTAAAATTACATCACATTTCATATGAAAATAGTATTCATAATTTATCTCTATTTCATATAACTATCTAACTAATGAGCCAAGTCGACAATTTCGACATGTATAAAATGTATACCAATAAAAAAATCTGTTGCTCAATCTTAAATGTGCAATTAAAACGGCGACTTTCTTTTTCCTGTGAGAATATAAATAACGATGAATCAATTTATAAGAAAGATCAAACTTGTCATGCATGCACCGCCAACAGGTGAAACAGCTTGGTCATCAGATTCGCTCTACTACAATTTATCAAAAGAATATGAGAAAGAGAATGGTAAAGCCAATTTGTGTAGAAAATGATATGCTGTACCTGGAAGCAATGATATATAATAACGAAATGAATAAGATATAACTAAAGACGATCGAAAGTAATCGACTTGTTTCTATTGTATTAGCTTAAGTGTGAAATAATATTGAACAAATATATGCGTTAATACGTGAATGATAACAAGCCTATGAATATGCCATGAACAATTCTGTTGAGCTATGCAAGTTTGCTTAGTAGTTATATATATATATATATGTGTGTGTGAGTATGTTTTACTTGTGCCTATTATATTCTTTGATGATTATCCATGAAAAACCGGCGATTATTATGTATATGTGTACATACATATACTTGTATGATTAAAAAAAAAGGAGATTGGCAATAGAGATTGCTAACAACACTAGGGGTCGGATCTTATTTCTCGAGGACGACAAGCAACCGACTTTTGTCTATTGATAAAAAAGGAAAAAAAAAAGAAGTGGTATAATTTGTGCAAACATTGTACATGCATCTTAGTGAAAGAAGTGTCAAACATATGGTAAATTTTTTTTTATTTCTCTAGTAGTAATCAATGTACATACCTGTAGAGCAACTTTTCTTCTTCTCCCTCTTCTTCTTCGTTTTATTCTTCTCATCGTCGAAGTGTCAATTGAGATTTGGTTAGTCGTCATTGCTTTTAGTTACCATAAGATTGCATCACCATTATACTACTAGCTATATGTATATATCTACTTTGTTGCTTAAGTCCATTTGAATTAGAAGGAAGTTCAAGGCTTATTTACCTAAGCTTCTAACCTGATGAGAAAGATATAGAAAAAAAAAAGAATAATGACCAGACGATGCAACGAGCCATATCAAATATCAGTCAACAAGCAGACGATGATCAAATTTGTCAGGCATACTAACAAGCAACTTATTTATTTCCTTATTACACCGTTTGATCACATCCGCACTCGTTTATTTTCAATTGATGATAGAAAAGAAAAAAAGATGAACACAACTAAATTATACAGAGGATTCATTGGTAATTGTAAGATGTCTCACATACATGTCATGTTCATATATCTTACTTGTATTATGACATTCGATAGAGAAGAAGAAGAAGATGAAGAACAAATAATATATAATAGGTCCATATCAATGAAGTTAGGTTTTTTTTTTTATCGATGATTAGTTTGTCAAGCAAAATTAAAAACAAACTTTTAACATAATCAATCATTTATTTTCTTTTGCAAACATGAATTACATTGATGTTTTCTATCGTTCAACACACACAAAAAAAAAAAAGACAAAATGAAAATGAAAATGCACATACAAGAAAAAGAAACAATTATGTAATATATTTCATAGAATTAATATAAACTTTAATCTTCACCAATAGGTAAAGCATCTTCTAATTTTTTTAAAAACTTAACTCGTAATTCAGTTGTATTATCACCTTTTAATTGATCTTGAACAAAGCGACACTCAACTTCTAATTGAACCTTTAAATGAATCAATATGAAAGAATAATAGAAACAAAATAGAAAGAAAAACAAACCATTTCAAGAGCACCACGTATTGCTCCACATATCATTTGATTATAACTTAATTTTTGTCCTGGTCCATCAGGTAATTCAACAAATTCAGTTAATGGATTACCATCAAGTAATAATGAAAATTCATCACTACCTGGTGACCAATTAGTAATTGATGGTGTTATACCTAAGTAAGTTTTAAAGCCTTGCTATAAAATAAAAAAAAAAGAAATTAATTATTCATTTCTTTTAATATAATAATCGTCTACTTTAGCTAGAACATCAGCTGTTTCACGAAAATCATGACATCGACCAACAGTTGGATTGCGAGCAAGAAAATCATCGATTAATCGTACACCGATATTATAACCACTAAAATAATATAGTACGATTTCATTAATTACACTAATGATGCAAGATAATCTTTTATGATGCTATCAACTAGAGCAAGGGTGTTACGACCATGAAAGCAAGTGTTTTTGGTCTCGGTGATTTTAATTTTTGTTTTTTAAGTCAATGACCAACACTTTTTTTAGTCATTTCTCTTAATTTATATTCTGATGGATATAATTTATAAGATAATTTACTTAAAACTATAAAGTATATTACTATAAACTTGAATTCTAATTTCGGCAATTGTTGTTCTCGTAGTACTGGTTCTAGCATCACTTCAATCTTGATGAATTTGCTTAGAAAACTCATGAGTAAATAATATAAAAATTCAGATAATATTAGATTTGAAAGTATTTTAATTGTTGTCTATATCTATGGATCTTTAATCTGAAATTATTATTATTATTATTATTTGGGTTGTATTTACATTTATGATAAGTTATTCACAAATAAGTCAATTGTCAGAATTTCTCCTATTGAACTATGATCATTTTACTATTTCAAGCAAGAAACTCTTATTTCGTTTGATATTTTTAACGTATTTTATACATATATATCGGCAAAATTTCTGATCGAATTCTATCTTAGTTTCATTAAATATTGCTTTCATTCATAATATGATGTTGCAACTCATATGATAATTTTTTTTTTTTAAATAAAACTTACATTTTATCAAGTTGTTTATTAACTTCATCCACATGTTCATAATCATTAAGAATTTGTGCAACAAATGCTCCATAAGTTAATGTAAATAATTCCTGTGTCTTTTAATATAAACAAAAAATGCAAATGAAATTTGATAAAAATTATCTGATATTCATTTCCCCAATCACACATACTACCTACAACACGTCGTGTGTCAATATTTTGTTTTACATTTGTTCGACTCATGATTATATATAAAAATATTCTTGTTATCTTCTTTGTATACTTAATTTCTGTAAGAAAATTTGATAATCTAAAAACAAAATAAACCTACACATTTAAATTCATATTGATTTACAAACAAAAAAAAAAAAAAAAATTCAATGTGCAAAAACTAAATGCATGAAATAAAAAAGGAATGTTATTGTTTTGTGAAAGAAAATAAAGATGTTTGAAAAAGAAAATTATTCAATATTGTTCATATCATTTGTTGATGACATATCCTGTTCGATTTTTAATAATGTATTTGATGTAACAGCAGCTAAATCATGTGCTATGCCTGGCATTTCTTCTAATTGTTGAGTTACTTCTTTAAATTTACTTGTCATACCACGTCGTATATCAGTAAATTCTTTAGCCATTTGTTTATTAGATTCAAGTAAATCACGTAATTTGGTTTGAATACTGGAATTTTGCGTTTCAATTTTATCCATAGCTTTTTCAATATCATTTAAAGCAGCTTCTAATTCTAATAATTCTATAAAAATAAGAACAAAAAAAATTACATTAGAAGAATTTTAAATAAAAAAAGAAAAAAAAAGTTTTTCATAATACCTGAATCAATTTCAACATCGTTAATTTGATTATTATCATTAGAATGATGACTATTACTTGTTTCTTGATGATTATTTGAATGACGATGATTTGTTGTTGTCATTGCAATATTTTATTTCAAAAAATAGATGATTTAAGTTTTTTTTTGTCTGAAATTACCTTCAAGCAAATATATATTTATGTCTTGCCATGTAACACATAACAACTTCGAATATGAGATATGATGTGATGTCAGGAGAGATAGTGGCGGCCTCTATTAATCGTTAAAAATAAGAATTTTATTTGAAATTATATCAATTAAAACTAAAATTTTCATTTCTTAAAAGATTTTTATTTGATAATATTGTATTTTAAAATAATTTTTCAAATAAACAATTGATTGGTTGAATTCAGAAGAATTTCATACAGTAATGATAAAAATATCATCGTACCTTTTCACTGACGCTTTCACTAAGCATTAAGAATACTTTTTCATCGTATTCATAAGATAATCAAAATCTATCGTTGAGTCAACATTATTCATGAAACATTGTTTGGCGTTTTTTCTTCTACATAAAGACACATATATTTTCATGTGTGAGAAGCACAAAGAATACCTTGAAATAATTTTAAAAACTATCCATATTATAATTGAAAGTCATTTATATTTTGACATTTTTCTATATATATTTCGAAGGTTTTATGCAAGTTTAACTGATAAAAAGAAAATACAATGACTACTTTGAATTATCAAATATATTGCATTAGAGTAGATACTGATTAACCAATAGACAGTAGTACCTCTATAAGCTGCTGATTAAATAAAAGGAAAAGACTTTCTACACAAAAGAGTTCATTAGAAATTGTACGTATCATATAATTGACTTGGCAGTAGCTAAAGTATCTACTATAGTTGATTGTTGTTCAAAGTTTTCTATAATTACTTAATGTTGACTTGTTATACCATGACGTGTATATCCATAAAATTCGTAGGTATTACTTATTCGAATGATTATATGAATTTATCTTAAAGGAAGAGTTGAATAAAAGTTTGGATAAAAAATGTCTTAAAGTATTTAAATTAATTTATACATGTTTTACATGCTTTGAGCATTGAAATAGATGTCCATTGTAGTTTTTGTATACAATAAGAGAAAACTGTTTGTAAGATTAACAGAATATAGTAATGTTGGTTAATTATTAAATATCTATATGCTGCGATTTATGTTATTTTATTAAACACTTGTAAATTTCTTGATTTATATCTGAAAATCGAAAAATAACGGTCACAGCAAAAAGTAAGTCTATATCAAGTAATCAATTCTCATATATTTGATTATCATTTTGATGTATTGTATGTTATAATCATGTGCATATTACTGTGATCAATCATACATATAAGTTAATTTTGCTCTAACTACAACTCAAAGAAAGGACCATCTATCAGAACAAATATTTCTAGACTTTTAGTTGAATTGAAGTCTACTCCCATCCAATAATATGATGTTATAGTTCATGCGATAGTTTCTTTATAAATATAAATTAAATTTCATTTATCTTATTCTAATTTAAAATCATATAACTGTTTTAAGAATTTCATGAATAAAAAACTTGCTCAACATTTTCATTCACATATTCATAATCATTAAGAATTTGTGTAACAAATGCTGCATAAGTTAATATAAATAATATAATCTGAAAAAAAAAAAACAAAATACACCTACACATTTGAATTCATCTTGATTTACAAGAAAAAAAATTCAATGCGCAAAAACTAAATGCATGAATGAAAAAGGAATGTTTCTGTTTAGGAAAAGGAAATTATTTAATATTGTTCATATAATTTATTAATGACATATCTTGTACGATTTTTAATAATCTATTTGGTGTAAGAGGCAACCAACGTCAAGTGGTTATCTCCTTCATTCTACGAGGTCTTTTCACTCAGTCATTCTGTAATACAGGGCACAGAGGACGACATCAAAAAGTTCGTTTTGACAGGAGACATCTTGCTGGACGACCTTCTCATTACGTTTTTGACAACAATATTCAACTTGTCTGTATGTGAGGTATGATGCCAAATATGGTAGACCCTTTATCGATACAGAAAATATCTACAATAATCGTGTTATTAAATTATGTCATGTACTCTTCTGCCTATTGATAGTAATAATGGAAAGTCACAACGAGTTTCACTACTAGATCAAAACTTAACTAAAATACGATTAATTAGGTGCCTTAGATATTCTTCAGGGCACGTGTCTTGTGGCGTTCTCTGATGCCGACATCTATAAGCCGACAACAATGAATATTTTATTTGAATCTATAATAATTATCAAGAGAACTTTCTTTTTCTCAAATATCTTTTTGCTCGTATTGTATTTTAAAGTTATTTTTTACACACATATTTGATTGATTTAATTAAATAAAATCTTTTTTTTTTTCTATTCTTTCTTTCTCAAGTAATAGCTATTATAGAAATATCTTCCACTCTTTTTACTCTAACTTTCATAAAGCAATAAAAATATCTTCTTCTCTAGCCATAAAACAATCAGCATCTATCATTGAGTAAATATTATTCACGAAACGTGGGATGTCGTTTCTTTCTTCGGTATATAAGTAGATGCCTTTTGATATAAAGTGAGTGTTTGACTACGATTGAATTCAACGAAAAAAAATGGATGAAGAACCACGCAAATGGCCTGATCTTGTTGGTAAAGATGGCAAAGAAGCCGTTGAAATAATTAAAAGAGATACTGGTAAGATAACTGAGAGTCATTTTATATTTTGATATTTTTCTCTATCTTCCTAAGGTTTTACACAAGTTCATGTTGTACCACCAAATTCAATGGTTACCATGGATTATCGGCTAGATCGGGTTAGAGTTCATGTTGATGAACAAGGCAAAGTAGCATATCCACCAACTGTTGGTTAACTGGAAAGAAAAGACTTTTTACATTCATAAATTTACTAATAAAAAATTCATTTGAAATTATGTATATCATATATTTAATTTGAGAGTAGTTAAATTATCTACTATAGTTGATTGTTGTTCAAAGTGTTCTATAATTACTTTATGTTAACTTGTTATATCATGATTTGTATATCCATAAAATCCATAGGTATTGCTAATTCGAATAATTCTATCAATATATAAGAGAGAAAAAGTTCAATAAAAGTTCGGATAAACAAATGTCTTAAAGCATTTGAATCATTTTCAACATCTTTTATATGACTATAATCATTAGAATGATATCGATTATAGAAGTAAACTCTTTAGAATTACTTGAATGATAATAAAGATTTTACAATGGTTTCGAATTTTGTGGTCCTTGTATACAATAGAAGAAAAGTATCCTTCGTAACATATGCAGAATATAGGAGTATTGATCAAGTATGAGTAAACTGTGAACATTGTTGTTGCAACTATTACTCAGAAACACACAAAAGTATTGCGTTTTTTTATGAAAGGTTTGTAACTTTCTCATGCATATCTGAAAATCGGAAACGACGTTTACAAAAAAAAAGAAGTAAATCAATAATAAGTTATCAGTGCTCATATGTTTGTTTCCCATTTTAACATGTCATAAGTTATAGTCATGTTCATAGTGTATTGATCAATCGTAAACACTTTCATACTTTGATCCTGTTCCATTCAATTTTAATGGTGCTTTTCAGATGTTCAGCGTTCTCAAAAAGGCGTTATCCCAAAATTTCTTTTATTGAATCTTTAATTAATCAAACATCAATTAATTTCGCTTCACCATTTTCTTAAAAGTATCTAGAGTTATACGAAATATTTTATATTTCAACTATGGCTCTTCTTGAAAAGTAATAGTTTATCAATCACTAAACTCAATTGTTTTATTAACGGCGATTACATGTCTATGCTGATACATGGTAATGCGAAATAATATAATATTAAAATAAAAATCAAATATGATGATAGGATAGTAGCGACAACTATGTTTTAGTGAAAGTAACAATTCCATGTAAGTAAATTAATTGAAACGAAAAATTTTTTATTATTATTAAATTTTCCTCTAATAAAATAGTTTTATTTGATGGAGTTTTATATTCAAGGATATTGCAACAGAAAATTGATTGGTTCATTGAAATACAATTTGAGACAGCCATAATTTGTTGTTTTCTTTTAATAAAAAACATTTGACTTGAATTTTGTGAGCAGTAAGAATTTCCAGTTATTTATTTCTTTCATGAAAAAGTTGTAACTTCCTCATTTGGTAACTATTATCATTCGAACATATAGGATCTTTTCTTTTCTGTATGTAATGCAATTTCTTGCGTGTGAGAGAAGTAGTTTACTTATATAGAAATCAACAAAAAACTAGATCAGAAATGATTAAGTTAGTTTGATTTTGTCAGAAACGATGATACGAAAATCGTTTAAAATAGTTAGAAGAAAAAAATTCTATTTTGCTCATGGTTTTATAAAAATCTATATTCTAGAAGCAAAGTCGATGGTTACGATGAGTTATCAAATAGTTCCACTTAGAGTTAATATTGACGAGCGCATCATTCATCGTTTGCTAATTTTATTAGTGTCATAAAAGAATTTTTCGATCTTTCGCGAAGTAAAATAAAATATTCACTTTTGAAAAGACAAAATAAGACATATCAATTAGACATTAAAAAATCATTTCAAAGAAAATTCAATAATTGTATTAATAAGAAAAATTCTTATTTATTGATTAATTATTGTTATCTACTTTAGATATTTTATCATCTCGATCGTTGAAAATATTCGATCATAAAAGGTATTTATATTAACTTGAATTGATATTTAAATATATGCTCAATGATGATAAATCTGCTAACAGAAATAAACTGTTGACTAATCACCAAGTTTTCCCTGAGAGCATTGAAACATTTTCCATACATTTCTACATACTTTCTTTTTTTAATGATTTAGATGCCTTCACATAAGACACTCAAAATAAAAAAAGTTCTTGCCAAAAAACAAAAACAAAATCGACCTGTTCCACAATGGGTAAATTATAATTTTAAATAATAATCATTTTCAATGATATAATTTTCTTTTTACAATTTAGGTTCGTATGCGTACAGGTAATACTATTCGTTACAACTCAAAACGACGTCACTTTCGTCGTACCAAACTCAAATTATAAACAGCCATCAACAACTACGACAATGACAATTATCTTTTCGAACGTCTATTGTTGTTGTATTGTTTTTTGTTAAAAAACAAGAAGATAAAAATAACAAACATTCATTTGAAAAATAAATAATTATCATCGAATAAATGAATGAAAAACAAAAAAATTCATTTAATAATTCTCATGATTCTTCATTGTATTGAAGATATGAGAGTAGTATTTGAATCAAATTACAGCTATTCTATCACTATAATAACTTATTGGATGTAGTCTGATATCAATTATATATTGAAATATAAGATTTCGTCTTTTCATTTTATTACAAATCATAATCTATTCACTTAAATATTCAGTTTAGATTTATATTTATGAACATAGACGATAGTGTCATGAGGCTGGGATCTGGATTCATGTCTCGTAACCTCAAATATTTCTTTCTTGTTTCATTAGATTGATAAATTTATGCAATGCATCGAAATTATTGTACAAACATCAAGATTATCCGCCACCTTAGGGAACCAAATGTAACATTTTTATGGTGAAACAATTTTGAGGAAATATTCAATTTTGTATGACACTTCAGTTCGATAGACTACCAGTTGCCAAAAATTTTCTTTGTCTTCAGTGGTTAAGCTTACATGCCAGGGAAGTAGCCAGATATTTTCTCAGAGAAAGCGTGTCCGTCAGCAGAAAAATCCTTAACCACATGACTACTCGTGGCTTCCATGAGTCACGACCGTCATGCCTGGCACTAGCTAGGACTTATTAGTATTTGTGAAGAATGACATTCTATTGAAAATAGAACTGTATATTATCGATAGATTATTCTTCCATTTGAAAAAATACTGTTGAACATGTGCAGTTCAGATCGATAAGATTTACTAGGTGTCAATTGATGAGAACAACAAAGCGAACGATACTGTATTGGTACACTTCATATTTCGGACATGAATAAACAATTATTATTTGATGATGAATCGATGTGAGTGAAATCAATGTTAGTTGAATATCATAATAATTCGAAGATAATTCTTTAGATTTTTTGATATGACAGTGATGTTGAATGAGGTTCTTGATGATTAAGATCATATAGTTCTCGTGTTCATGTTAGATAAAGAGATGAAGATCGACAAAAATGAAAATAAGAATTTGCACTGTATTTTATTTTCAACAACTAGTTTTCATCTTTCAGAGCAGTTGAAAAACGATATGAATGAGTTCATGAAAATCGAAATGTTTAAGACGGCACACAATTAGACGTATCTGTCATCAAGTAACATCCGATACGTTCGAACAAATTTATTGTCCTATTAATGATAGTCTTCATGTTACAATTGACGAATTTCAAACACAAACTAATCGGAATCATAGCGTCGCCCAATGAATAATCTTTGATCATTGTAAACGTATAAAGATTATGACTAGTTTATCTTCAACGTCTTTTTTGACATTCACGATATACCAAGTGAAGAATGGTTAAATACTATGGAATTATGCAGCACTGTTTGAATTATCACTCGTTATAAATATAACCATGATACAACTGGCAGATAATTTTATATTCCTTTATGTATATCTTAAAAACTGACTGGACTAAAATCATCTGATTTTCATCAAATTGTAGCCTATGTAGTCTCCAATATGTTGGTAAAACATTTCATATCCATCCATTGATTCTTTTACTTTTTATTGGAGATATAATCACAACATGTCATTTGTTTGTTCTTTTAAAAGCTTGTTACAACTTGAAATTTTCGTTATGATGTATGATTGAATAGAACAAGTTATGGTCTGTGCAAGGATTACAAAAGAATGTCTTTTTTTTATCCAAACATCTCACTTTTCGACAATTAGATTTCAATTAATATAAGAACAATAAACAATTTTACGTAGAATCGATCTTATACTGTCAAAGATCTTCATTTTTTCTTCTATTCATAACAGCCGCTTGGAGACACTTCCTAAATTTAATTATGTTGGCTACAAGATGGAGGCCAAATCGTCCAACTCAGTGTTTTTCAGAATTGGTCGAAGATGGATGAAAACTCATACTGGAGACTTAAAAGCGTTCGTATCATCTCGAGACATCGAACTCTTTGTTAATTAAAGGAAACATCCAATATATCACTTGAATCATGCGTTCAATGAAAGAAGATTTGGAGAAGAAGAAAAAATATAATTTTCTGACTATCATTAAGGATTATACGGATCTTTAAGCATTGACTTTTTCGGTTTTTCACATTGAACATGTAGTCATCCGATTAGGCTCTTTTTACTTAATAAAAATTCTTTTTATGAGTTATTTTTCCTTTACTTTAGAATGAAACCATCCCACTGTTAAAACTTACTCTTGTGATTATTTTTTCTTCTCCATTTCGATGAAATTCAAATGAAAGGAAACAATGATCTTAAAAATTCATTTATTGTAATTTCATTGTAACTGATTTTATCTAAACATAGATATTATTTGAAAATAAATAGAAAATATGGGCACATATTCACATTTTCTTTGATGGAGACTGATCGATATCACTCATGGAGAAACCTTCTGTTGTGTCATATTCAAATTATGTTATATGATATTCGATTAGAAAATTATTCAATACGTTTTGATAACTTTTTTCAATTAATATTCATATTGTTTTTTGTTTGTTTCGAGTCAAATATTCATCCACTATATCAATTGTTATTATCAAACCTTAAAAAGCGTATTTTTCGATAATTCATTTTATGATCGTTTTACAGACACAAACAATTATTAATGATAGTGTTCAAAATTTATTTTATAATTTTATTATTAAAACTAATACAATATTCATTAATAAATCAAGCACTACAACAAATATGATTATATATCATTTAATCGATTGTTTGATGAATTAAATGTAAAATATCATAAAAAATTCTTTTAGGCTCAAAAAAAAATCAACGAAACTCAGTGATTTATGTTCATCAGTGTGATATTGAACCAATAAGTTGAAATTAATATTAAGAAACTATTTTTCTTCTCTTATCATATAAGCTATCGACAATGCAAAATTAAAGCAGACGTTTTTTTTGCCTTCATTTCTTGATATAAAGGTTAGATAGAGCGTGATGAGTTAACCAAGAGCAAATGCACTTTCAATATTTTGAAATGAACTCTTAGGAGACAATTTTCAGTTTTTTCAAATGACCAGCTTTTTCTGAAATTACACGTTAATTTTTTATAACCATCAAATTTTTAAGTTCTTCATTTCTTTTATATTTCAAAACTGTTTGTTTCAAATTTGAAGGAAATGACAGTTTCTCGCTTATCGAAAATTGACCTGTATTTCATAAAAAAGTCGGTCATTTGAAAAAACTGAAAATTTTCCTCTGCAAAATCATTCCAATCAATTGAAAAATGCACATGTTCTTGATCAGCTCGTCACGCTCTATCTAACCATGTAAATAGTAACGAAAAAAAATTCCTGCTATGATTTTGCATTTGCAGCACGTTAAACATTCCAAAAGGAACCAAAATGGATTATAATCAAACATTTTCCGGATTCCAATTTCTGTTAGTATAAAAGTGTTCTAATAAATCCAGATGTTCCTAGCTCAAAACAATCTTCATTCGCTATGAGCTTCACTGCATAACAAAAACCTAAAGTAGCTTTTTTTTGACGAATGTACTTCTAATATATCGAAGGTCTAATGTTCCGTACTAGTAAAACAACCAGATTTCATGCAAAAACCGACTTTTAACTACTGTAATCACGTATTTTCTGTAAAAGAAGTGATTATACAATATAAAATTTTAAGAGCAGCATTACTAAGGAAAGCTTCCGACTGATTAATTGCTGTTGAATCGGAATTAATTACACTGTACAGATTCCAATGCAGGATGAATACCCTGAAAAGAATCAATCCAATTGCTGATCGCTGACAATATATTACATTTGTGCGGCATTTTTCAATACAATACTATGTCCTTCCTCCCCCCCTAAAGAACACGGGAAAAGCTGGTTTTAGAACTTCGCCTTGAAACATTGCATAGAAACAAGCTTTAGCGAGAATAATGTATTGTGAAAGTTTTAGATATTTTCGTTATTCCTATCCCAAGATACAGCTATAATAAAAGCACATCTTTTACGTCACTTATATATATTGGCGGATTCGATGTTCTTATTTCAGCGCAGGAATAGATCAAGTAACGCAAATACTTTCAAAATCAACTATTGTTAACAAGACTTGTTTCAATGCAAAGTTTCCAGTCAAAAGTCTAAAATCAGCTTTCCTGGTACTTGTGACAGAGATTACAGCATTTTATTGAAACATATCATAAATATGTAATATATCGGCAGTGATGACTTACGAACTTGAACTCTTTTCAGGGAATTCACAATCCAATAGGACCTACATGATATATATACTTCAAACTTAAAAATGATTAATCAATGGAGGGACTTCCCTTGTTAATATAGTGGAACTTCAGCAGTAAAAATTTAATAAGTCATCAGAAAATTGTTTTTAAAAGGAATCGTAAGTGGAATGTCTGATTTATTGTATTCTCTCGGCTCTTAGTAGTTATATTTGTACACAGATAGTTTACATTGAAACTTGAATATTTCTTTATTTTTCTTTTTAAGTACCAAAGCATAGAACCGTCATCTTGTTTTAGAGGAGAAAAATAATCAAATCTATAATATGACGGTTAAAATAAATGAATCAATTGATGGAAAAAAAGATACTTAAATGTTTCTCTTTTGAAATATTTGTTTCTTGCAGAAAAAGAGCTTTCGAGAACTTTTGATAATTGATGATTTATTTACCTAAGAAGTCCTTCGCAATCTTTTTAC